TTTTAGGGAAGCACGAAATAGAAGAGCTTAATAAATGACTTAAAAGGATATCTCCAACTTCAAGCAAACCCCATACCTCTGCATCCTTTACCTCACCTGCTCTTCTCTATCCTTACACCACATTCACACACACATATAGCTATATGTATATATTTGACTATTTTGTCATTATATAGACGTAATAACCAATTTTGTCCTTTTCAATTAACCCATTAGATTAATAGGACCGGTTTCGTGGAGTTTTATAACTTTAATTTACCAGGACAAACTTATCGGATCGAGAATATCAAATAAATAAGAAAGATCATGCATAATATAATTAGAAAGATTCTGTAAACATATCATTTTGGCTAGAATGTTTTATTAAACAGTCTCGTGACTTCTCTTTTGGTAGATTTAATAATCATGTAGAGTATACATAGAAGCATTTGATTTTGAAGGTAAATTGGTGAATTAGGGCAGGTGAAAATGCAGAAGCCTAGTAGATAGATCTTCTTACATAACTCCCCCGAGATTTAAGGGCTTTTAGAGAGAGAGAAACAAAGAGCAATTCCCAATGTTTTTCATGAGAGAGAAGTGACAGCCTGCTTCGTGGCCGACAGCGATACGTTCCTATCTCTTCTCACCTTTCATTTCCCACGTGTCTAACTCACATTTTCTACAAATACATGTATGCAAGGACCCGAATGTTCAGAAATTGAAATAATGATGAGCTTATTTGAACAATATTATTATTATTACATTTTCTTATATTTTTATTCGATATTTGAAATATTTGTTAAAATAGTGGCTATTATTTATCTGCAGCCTGCAGGCATTTTATAGATTTTTGGAAATTAGAACCAGCTTCTGCTTACGAACAGTGGTTTTCAACCTCGTACCAACACTGTTCATGTCTGTGTTTGCGTAAACAAAATTAGGTGTTTCAATATTCATCATGTACTTTTGTAGAAACCTACACATATTTATATATTCGACTAAGTTTTTAATGTATATATGTAATGATAGAAAATTTTAAGTTATAAATTTGTTTTTCCTTGGTTAGAAACCCTAGAGGTTACGTGCTTTGATCCAAGAACTTGGATTTGACATATCTGATTCGTGATTCGTGTTTCTTTTAAACTAAAAGATTATAAAGGACGAAGTTCGCACCTTGGGCGCGTTTACCTAACGCGTTCTCTAGCTAAGTAATTATGCTTCTAGCCTTAAAATTAAATTAGGGTTCTTTTACATTTTATAAATCGGAAACGAGTTCCAGTTAATTACGTAAATTTAGAACATTTTTTGTAATCGATGTAACTACAACGATTGCCTTTGATATACTATTATACTACTAGTTAATTAATTTTGAAATTTTAATTACAAGTTACAAGTAGTCAAGTCACACAGTTATTTTATTTTATTTTATTTTTTTTGATAACTCGGGTGTTCTGGCCCCCACCAAGGTGTGTCCAGACTAGTGCGGGGCCCGTCGCTATATCGGCCGTAGCCTCAGCCTTTAGGGGTGGTCCTATCCGATCTCGAGGAGCTGATGATCACCTCATGTTAATCCATTAATGGCCATGACTCGAACCCAGATGGCGGAAGTCACAGCTGTGATCTCTTTACCACTGGTCTACAAGCCCTGGGTCACACAGTTATTTGTTTGTTTAGAACTTTAGTTCCCCACCACCTGAAAAAATCATAACGAGTATCTGTGTTCGGGTATCACATCAAATTTTCATTTTCTATACACCATCTAAAAAGTTCATTTACAGTATTACTATGCAGTATGCACTAAAATATGTGCACTATAATATTTTACTACAAGGTATAAGTTTTCCGGACGATTTCCAGTCAATTAAATACTGAACTTTGGTTACCTTTGAGAACCCTCTGAATTTAGTTATTTATTTTTTTTGTAGATTCTACGAAACTATAGAAAAACTATCTTTGTATTGTATTATAATTACTTCATCATGATTTATCTTAGAATATAGAATGAACCGATCGGTGTTGATTCGGTTAGTATTTAACAACTTCAATATTACCTGGTCAAGAAATATAATAGAATATACTTTATAATATTTCTACCGACAAAATATATATGTTTTAGGTTTATGCATATATTATACGTGTGTTTAAAATGGTCACCTACCTTGTTAAACATATTTTAAGGACGGCACTGTGTGGAAAATTAATCTAATAACTTAAAGACCCACTTACTCAATTATATATGTAAAAAAAAAATTAGTTATATGTGCCTACACAATGCTATTGGATAAGGAACCATAAGCCACAAACATCCTTAACATATAATATGGAAATAATAAATAACGATTAAAACACATAAAATAATTTTATGAATGGCTTTGTCAGACATCACTATGTTCGTTACAAAGTCGTAATTTCTTAAAGTTTTGCTTTTTAATTTTAGTGGTTACAAATATATCAACTTATCAAGTTATTTAAACAATATATTAGATACTATAATTAAAATAAATGGAAGCGACTCACACAAATATTATTTTTAATTTTTAACTTATACTTGTACGTAAAACTAAATCAATAACTTTCACTGAAAAAGCAAGCCCTTTTGACTGTATATTATAAGTCATAACGTGGAAACATTATAAATTCTAAAGGGTTAAAAGATCTATAAACTTTTGCACGTGGGATGTGCAATTACACCTAAAATATAACAAATTATAAAGACACAGGTTCTTTGATTTGGTTTAGTTTGGTTGTAATCATTATGTCATAGAAATAGTTCCATAAAAATCATACTATTTTTATGCATATATAAATCGGAAATATTTTAAAGTAAAAAATAAATTATTTCAAACCTAAGCAACTTTAAGCCTCCAAAACTCCAACTGTTGCTATGCTATCTCAACTGGTTAAGTAGCATTGTTTGTTTCAACGATTTGATGGTTTTTGCACGTACGATGTTGTGATTTAATAGATCCCTTGACATATAACAATACTGGTCTGGATCGATATTTTAAAAATATGACCGGATGGCAAAACACTAATTATAAAGTAAGAAAAAGAGAATCAAGTAAGTTGGGACAGTATTACTGTATTAGACAACACTAATTATGGATGTTTTCTAAAAGGTTAATTAAACAAAAAAAATTCAACATTTGTAAGTTCATAATAATAGAAACTAAATGAAAGCTGGTTTCAACAATATCCTAGTAAAAAAAAAAATATCTTAGTCAACGTACATACAAAAAGGATAAGTCATTTGTAAGATTTTTTTCTTTGTACAAAATCTAGACCAAATTAACAATTCACATGACTCGAAATTTAAGCAACTTCTGCTGTAAACAACTTCACTAAATCGAGTCTACAATTATTTCTCTTTCTTTTGAGCTAATGTCAACTCATACATGCATATATAATCCCAAAAACGTAAGAAACGTAGATTTAGATAATGAATATGTTTATCGAAAAAAAAAAAAAACGAATGAATGTGACTAATCCTTAAAGTTTAGTGATTTGGTATGAAAAAAAAATAAACTCGCATAACTCATCTAATACTAGAAACGACAAAAAATGAATTAATGTTACAACATTAATATTGGCACGAAATTATTAGTTTGAAATGATTAGATCCAACTAATTTCCAACCAAAGTCGGTCAAAGCCAAATAAAAATACCCACAGCTCTCCATGAGACCGAAGAGTAACCCCATCCAAATGGTTCAGACAATCGTGGACCCCACGCGCCGCTTCTCTCCTCTCCCACTTGACATTCTCTCTCCTCTCTCTCTCTCTAATTAAATTTAACTTTGATTAGTTTTGGTCAACTTTTTAGTTAACCATGGTTAACTAATAATATATTATTCCTTTTCCAAGATTAATATATGTACAACTGATTACATACGGGTTGGCCTAATTTCTTTTTTTCTTTTTTTGTGCCTTTTAAATTGCTTATTACATCTTAGTGTTTTCGAGTTTGGACATGATTTACATCTTAAACTAGTTTAAGAAGCTAATGTAGTTTGCTATATAAGGGTAAACATAAAATTTATTGAATTTAAATATATTATCAATAACAGAGGCAAGGCAATGATGGTGGAGAATGTTTTAAAGGACATAAAAGAGGAAGCATCTTAATGAAACCCACAAGATAACCCCAACCACATATTATCATGATGGCTTCATTCGTCTTAATTAAACTTTCATTTTCTCCAAATATTTTAACTTATTATACCAATTAGATCACACCCACTCACATATATCTCTTTTCTCAGCTTCTAACGCGCCTCACATGCGTGTGAATACTAACTTCTTTTAAGCTCAAACAAATGCCGACTATGAAACGAAACAAGTATGGCTGCTTTTGAGAAAAGTTAATGTTTTAATTTTCTTATCAAATATCTATCATTTTATGAATCGTAAACGGTATTACAAAATAAAAGTTTGTTGTTCTTTATAATTAGGGACTAAAACACTACGATATTTTAGTTTTAGGACATACACATATAAAAATCTGTAAACATAACGCAAACAGAAAACCCTAATATATTGTTTTGCCTAAGGCATTCGCGTATAATTCACGTTCATGCCCTTATCGGATAAGAAGAATAGAGTTTCTGAGTTCAAAACACACAAAACGACATAAAACTCTCAAGAAGATGAAATTTTGAATTTAAGTAGATACCAAAACGAAATATTTTTATATTAATAAATATGTTGTAAGAGTTTAGGTTAGACAAGTGACTGCATATACATACACATATCTATATATACACAAACATATTTTTCTTCTTCTTTAATGCTTTATTTTAGTCTCACCTTCTCCTTCTACTTTTCATCATTTCTCTTTCTCCTCCCATTTTCGTCTTCCTAACTTCTTCTCAATCCTCCTCTCTCATTATTATTTTGTTTAAAGAAAAAAATATAGAAAATCTACAAAGAAGAGAAGCTTTATTTTAATCTTGTTGTGTGTGTGTGTGTGTTTTATATAATTTTTTTACAAATTAAAATCTCTCCTTTGCTTTTGATGTGGGCATGGCTGGTCTTGATCTAGGCACAGCTTTTCGTTACGTTAATCACCAGCTCCATCGTCCCGATCTCCACCTTCACCACAATAACTCCTCCGATGAAGTCACTCCCGGCGCCGGAATCGGTCATTTCACCGTCGACGACGAAGACAACAACCACCAAGGTCTTGACTTAGTCTCCGGCGGAGGATCTGGAAGCTCTGGAGGAGGAGGTCACGGAGGAGGCGGAGGAGGGGATGTCGTTGGCCGTCGTCCACGTGGAAGACCACCTGGATCTAAAAACAAACCGAAACCTCCAGTGATAATCACGCGCGAGAGCGCAAACACTCTTCGAGCTCACATTCTTGAAGTAACAAACGGCTGCGACGTCTTCGACTGCGTTGCGACTTACGCTCGTCGAAGACAGCGAGGGATCTGCGTCCTGAGCGGTAGCGGTACTGTCACGAACGTCAGCATACGTCAGCCAACTGCGGCTGGAGCGGTTTTGACGCTACAAGGAACGTTCGAGATTCTTTCTCTGTCCGGATCGTTTCTTCCTCCTCCGGCTCCTCCCGGAGCAACGAGTTTGACTATATTCTTGGCTGGAGGACAAGGTCAGGTCGTCGGAGGAAGCGTCGTCGGTGAGCTTACCGCGGCTGGACCGGTGATTGTAATCGCTGCTTCGTTTACTAATGTTGCTTATGAGAGGCTTCCTTTAGAAGAAGATGAGCAACAACATCTCGGAGGAGGAGGAGGATCTAACGGTGGAGGGAATTTGTTTCCGGAAGTCACCGCCGGAGGAGGAGGAGGACTTCCGTTCTTTAACTTACCGATGAATATGCAACCGAATGTGCAACTTCCGGTGGAAGGTTGGCCAGGCAATTCCGGTGGAAGAGGTCCTTTCTGATGTGTATCTATTATATATACCGGCGGAGGAGCTTTTCCGGCGAAGAATTTACAAGTGAAGAAAGGTTAGAGAAGTTTCTAATGGACTAATGAATTTCAAATTATCATCGTGATTTCGGACATTGTTCTTGTTCATCATGTTAAGCTTTAGGTTTTTATTTTGCTTTTGTTTTGCGTTTTGTAGAATTTTATGTTTCTCACTCTCTCTTTTTTTCTTTCCCTGTGAAACTCTATTTGTGTTCGTCTACGATGAAAACAAATCCCTTCTTCATATCTAACCAATTTCTCGCAAGTTTGATATTGGCTTTGGTCTATTAGAATTTCACTAGAGGTTCTCGGCTATTAATCAAATTTCTACAATTGTTGCCTAAATATGTTTGTTGATGCGTAGTTAAATTAGATCCAGGTCCTTCTGTGTTTTGGTCAGTGCAATGATTAAGAACCAAACATATATTTTGGGGAGTTTGGTGATAGAATTTATGACTTAAATATTTGTTTTCTAATATTTTTCTCAAATAGATCAATGTGACAGAACTCAAACAAAAATTATTGCTTAATGGATAATCTTTTTTAATTGCTGCTATATATGACTTCTATATAGAAAGATATAGGTATACATGTGATTGTGTATGTGTGTGGTATGCTGATTAACTGATAACCATATCTATAACCATACATCAAATTCGTGTTATGATTTGGTGTCATTGTGTCAATTCAGCATTGGTTTTCAATTTCTTGAAGCCCTAGCATAAATATAGTATATATATTAGAATTATGATTTGATTTTGATCCGGAGGAACTGAACAGTGAAACCTATTCAGTTCGTTTGTTCTCGTGTTTTATATTTCTCCCACTTTACTGGAGTCATGACATGATTTAGGTTTTACTATACTTATATTTGCTTTGTCTTTAATATATCTCTGTCTAAATATGTCTTTGGATATGGAGAATATCTATCTGAAAACACACTTGAGTTAAAGATAAATACTTGGAATTTGTATATTTTAGTTCTTTGGACGATGCAGTATGAAAATTAACTATTATATGTATATGATTTTTTGGATCATTATATATCTCCATAATCTCTCTATATATTAATGTCTGTTCCCATAAGTGTGGATGAAAATTATAAGTTTGATTTAGTACGGTGATGATTGTTTTCTTCGTTTTCTCGTTTAGTTAAAAACATATTTTAATGAGATCCATATACATATATGCTTATAAAAACTTATTTACATTGTTAATGATTTTATGGGAATCTCGTATTGGAAGCAGACATATTAAGTTATTTAATCGATGTGCGGTGGTGCTTATCTGTGAGAATTTCCTTTTGATTAATCCGTTGAGATTTATATTGGGAAATTATATTCTCTGAAAAAAGTTCCTTAGGTGCTATTCCTAGTTTTATATTCCTGTCTTAACTGGTTAACGAGCAATATTACATTAAACGTAACATGTAATGCATGAGATCAATCGAAATATGTTTGAAACTTAGAGGCATTCTATGTACTGGTGAAACAAGAATTAGTTGACTAATTATATATAGATCAAAATATAAAACATATGTTGAGCGAGTTTTATTTTGTGTGTATATGAACATTTTCACGAAATTGAACAATGAACTTTGGTTGTAACCTCCCTGAACTATAAGAAATTAATCGTTGTCCCGAGAGTAGATGTCGATTACCTATAATACTATGATTTTAGAAATATATGATTATTGAAAGACAGTTGCTAGAATCTAGATCATGGTTTCGACTCTAGACTCTAGGAAGCAACGAAAATGTAGATTTTAATACAACGTAATCATCACTACTTCCTTTGAAATTTAGGATTTTGGATTAGCTTAATCCCATATTTGTTTTGGAATTTAGGACTTCCCAATAATAGCAAATATCGTATTGTGAGGGACATTGACAGTTCCTTTGAACTACTGTCCGAATACTTACGACATAACAATAAATAAGGTATTTGAATTCACTAATTTAACAACAATATGATTGGTACGTACCTTGAGAAGATGCTTGAAGCTGACCAAAGACAGTGAAATGAATAAGCTGAAATTTCTTTGAACCCTACGTAGTACAATTAGAGAGAGAGAGAAATACAAACACTTAGAAAGAGAGAGAGAGAGAGAGAGAGAGAGAGAGAGAGAGAGAGAGAGAGAGAGAGAGAGAGAGAATTTGAGAGAAAAAAATCTTATATCGAAGTGAGTTTTCGAGAACAAATCGATGATGATAACTACAAATGGAAAAATTACTATATATGATGATAAGAGTAATGCTATGTTCTTAAGTATATTCTCTCAGCCTCACTTTCTATACTCTATTCAGTTCTCAGCTTAATCGTTAGGCTTTGTTTTTCTTCAATCATCAATTTCTCTATATCATGATATGAGATGTTTTTTGGATTAAAAGTTTTGCAGATTTCTTAAACGTCAATTAGTTCATGTTGCGTCTTTCTTTCGCTGGCAAGTATATCCTCTCAGTTCCCTTCAATGTGAGATGATGATGATCTAATATGGTTCAACCATGAAACCATGAGGCTAGCTAACAGATAAGAGATAACTGTTTGATTAGTTTTTCTTTTATATACTAACGAATATCATGTTTTCGTTTATCTTTCAGTACAAAAGATAATTTTGTTTTCTGACAACTGTTTGTACTTGGGCTTGATTATGTATTTGTTCATTCGGCTATATATGCCCCCCAAAAAATCTTCTTTCTGATCGGCTTGAGACCCAATTACTTGACTCTTTCTGATCTGGCCTATAATTCACCAAAATGTTAGACCGATTGTTTAAATTTACATGATGCAACTGCTCAATTTATTTTTAATTTTTTTTTTAATTTAATTATACAATTGACATCACAAAACACAGTACAGTAGATATATATTCACACAAGTTACAAAATGCCCTCATCTTAGCTAAGGTCATGTACTATTAGCAAAATAGCCTAAGCCTTAAGGGTCATATTACTACTACTATTTAGATAGGTCGTTCGTTAACCCCTAGAATCGGTTTTGAAACCCATGCAAATTCTGGTTATAAACTAAGCCCATAAACATTTTCTCCAAAGGCCCATGAAATCCGTTTGAGATGCATTTCAGTACATTTTCGAGATAAAAACATGGAAGAGAGAATTGATATTAGTCCTCCTAACATTCTAACAATATATACATACACAAAGAGGCTTATGAAAATGCTCTCATCAACATCATCATCGTATTCGTCATCATCATCATTTCCTTTGTCTTCTCCTTCTACTCCTTTTTCTTCTTGCTGATTAGGGTTGGAGTCACAGAGAGCACACCGATGAGAAACAGAGTCGCCATCGAGCTGAAATCATACAGATCTCCTAATGATTGCAGCTCTCCAAGAGCGATCCCAGCCTGTCACACATTCCAATTACAAATTCTTCACCATAATCATCGAAAGAAACCGTAAGATAAGAAGATGAATGAAACTCTCATTACCCTAACAGTGACAAACGCAGCAGGAATCAGACCGATGAAAGTAGCGAGGAAGAAGATATGATAAGGAACATCAACGATCGGAGAAGCAACGTTAATGAACGTGTTAGGCAACGTCGGCGTCAGTCTTAAGAAGAGCATGTAGTTCAGCAACCCATCTTTCCTCTTGGCGACCTGATCTTGGAAGAAGACGAGCTTCTCTGGCCAAAGCGAGAAGATCAGAGGTCTGCCGATGAGCTTAGAGAGGAAGTAGCAAGAGGAAGCACCAGCTGTTGCGGTGGAGACGACGAGAGCCATTCCTTTGAACACTCCAAAGAGAGCACCAGCGAGCAGTGACATGAACACAGTCCCAGGAATCATAAACGTCTGCATAAACACGTACACCAGAGTATACCCAACAAGAACTTGGACTGTGTAATCGCTCGTGTAAATCTCCAGATTATCTCTGCAAAATCAATCAATGTATCAAACACCAAAGATTCAGTGATGTAATCAAATCAATGCATCAATCTGTTTTAAGAAAGTAATCAACTTTGAGGATAATCAATTGTTAATCAGATTATGTTTTGAGATTCAAATTTGTTTCAATAAACATTGCTAATATTAGCAGATTAGCTTATAACTTCCAGAATCCTAAATCCGAAATTCTAAATTCCCAAAAATTCAATTGTAGAAGGAAGAAGATTGACCTAAGAATCTGAAGATCTTCGAGATTACGAGGGAGCTTGAGGAAGCTGTAATCGGATTGAGGCATTGTGAGATAAACACAAACAAGGCCCAACAGGAAACCTAAAACGACGCCGGAAGCTGCGGTGACCTCCCAGAAGCTCACGGAACATCTCGGAGTCGCTGGTTTCGCCGGAGCGGTTTGGACAGCGGCGATTGTTGTTTCTCCTTCTCTCTCCATCTCTCTTTCTCTTTCTCCGGTGTCTATCGAGAGAGAGAGAGATAGAGGAAAGGATAAAAGAGAGAGTTATTGATTGCTTACACGAATCCTTTTCTCTCTGTCTCTATCTCCTCGAAATCTGAATGACGGAGGAAGATTGGAGATGGAGACGAAGACGAAGAAAAGAAGAAAAATAAAATTAAAAGGAATATTCGAATTTTGATTTTGAAGGATTTGTTTGGATTTTTGTAATATCTAATTTAAAAAGAAAATAAGAATACTAAACTAATTTTGTAACCTTTAAAAACCATTTGTGGCCCTTATTTTTCCTTGGTTTATAAATTTAGCCCCGGGATTTATAGACCTGTGTGTCGTATACCCTAATCCTTTAACCATTAAAGTTAGGTTTATTTGATTGATTGTTAAAACTTGATATGTTCGTTACGTATATATATTTTGGGAAATAAAAAAATGATATATACTGTTGGACCCAGATTCCACACCTGGAATCTAGCCCGTAAGGGCCCATTACCTTGATCCAAGATTGAAGTCCAGGCCCACTCAAGCCCAGCAAGAAGACCTCGAGCCCACCAAGCGACTCCCTCGTAAGCCAGTTAACTGCCATCCGAGCTATTCCGGTCGACGTAAAGACGAGCTCCAGCTCGATCAAGGACCAGGTCGGCACTGCGAAGAAAGACGAAGTCAAAGAAGATCTCCTTCAAATCCGGTCTGGTCCGAGATCACCGGGATCGTTAGCTGCACGTGGCGAGATACGCGGAGGTGGATCGTAGCTGATTCTGGAGCTATAAAAGGAGCTTGACAGCAGTCGGATCAAGATCTTCTTCCGATCATTTAGACCTAATTACTATCATACTTTCCTTGTATTTTCCTTTGAGCTTAGTTCTTTCTCTCTTCTGAGAATTCATTGTAACCATTTTCATTCGTTTAATACAATTCCGTTTAGCCAAATCCTTGCTTACGATTCATTCGACTTACATCAAAATCTAGCCCTAAATCTCCCTAAGTTTCTTCCTTGCAAAACCTATAAATTTCGAGTGTGGTTTTCATAGCCCACATTTTGGCGCCGACTGTGGGGAGGAAACATAGATTTTCTTACACAAGGGTCGAACCTAAGCCAGGTAAGAGCGAAAATGGATACTATCCGGTCGCAAACCCAGGGATCTAACTCCCAAAACTCGATCCCATCGGATCAGATCACCTCGAACATCAGTAGCAGCCAAACTGCTGATGCATCGAGAGATCAGATCGCGTCGAATGTTGGTAGCCGCCAAACTGCCAACACTTCGAACACGCCGATCACATCTGCTACCGCCTCCACTGGAGTGCAGCTTAGCACTCCACCTCGCGTGGAACCAGTGGTGATCAATCTCGCCACGCCGGTAGCAACCCCGAGCCCGATTCTACCGAATCTGGGTTCGCACACCATCGAGAGACCTCTCTCTCGAGTTTGGGTCAGATCGGAAGATCCCCCAACAACTGTGACTCCACAGAGTCGGACTATTCCTGTTCGACCTGCATCTGCGACGCAAACTCCTCCGCGAGCTAGTCCAGATGATCTGGCACAGATCAAACAGCTTCTCACCAACCTGGTAAACGGTCAGCGCGACCACGAAACTAGGCTGGAGAGACATGAGAGACGCCTCGCTGAATCTCGAAACATCACTAGCCCGCCTCCGCGGACTCAGCTCGATTTTTCGACGATCTACGCATCTGGCGTACCTCAGGCGCAATTCGTTACGCCTTCGCGACCTCAAGTCTCTCAGACTTTCGGTCCACCGCCGAGCTCGCCACCAGTTGGCATAAACAATACGAGCTCGCACCCAAGCGAGACGAGAGCTCAACCGAACGTTCCGCTCTCATCTCCACCCCCAGGGCCACCTGGTACCGATCCAGCTAGGCCTAGGTGGTTTGGCGCTTCAGCTTTTGCCTCGAGCTCGCAGGCAATGCCTCAGTTTGAGAATCAGCTAGGCGCGACATACGGTTCACAGCCCTCCGCAACAGCGCGAGAGCACGTGAACGGGAATTATCAACAATTCCCTAGCTCGAACGGTCAGCCCAATCGAGCTCAATTCCAAGGAGCTAACGATTCACGAATCAAGCTCCATTCTATCCGATTCCAGCTAATCGGAATCCAGCTGATCCACGTAACCTCGTCGACAGCGAATCTTTCGAAAGATTCCAAGATCGCACAGACCTCGCGTTTCAGCATATGAGCTCAATGTTTCATCAAGCAACGAGCTCAGCTCCTGATATCGACAGAGTGATTAAAGAGTCTAGACGAACTCCTTTTTCACTCAGGATCAAAAGTACCTATATCCGAGATACCAGCAAGCTGCGTATCCCAGAATACTCTGGTAACAGCGATCCGAGAGCTTACATGCGAGCTTTTAACCTCGTCGTATCTCGAGTTCCTTTCTCTCCAGAAGAGATAGAAGCAGCCTACTGCAGGCTCTTCGCTGAGAACCTGATCGGACCAGCTCAAGAATGGTTCTCAACGCTGGACGAAAACTCAATCGATAATTTCGACCAGCTCCAATCAGCCTTCCTAAAACAGTATTCGATCTTCATCGAATCTAAAATTACGGAAGCAGACCTTTGGAGACTTTCTCAAGGTCCAAAGGAATCACTTCGATCTTACATTGACAGATTCAAATCAGTCAAAGCTAAGATCACAAACCCTAATGAGGCAGTAGCTCTACTTGCCCTCAAAAACAACTTGTGGTACGAATCGAAATTTAGAGAAGAACTAACTGTTCGACCTACAATTTCACTAGATGACGCATTACATCGCGCATCAGCATTCGCAACTCTCGAGGAAGACACAGCTCTCCTCAGAGAAAAGTACCTCAAAGGGGAGCTCGCATATGCTCCACCAGGTGCTAAGAAAACTGCACCAGCTAAACCACCTTCGCAGAGTAAAGGACAACATTCCTACTCTATCGAAACTTCAGCTCCCATAAAGAGCTCGGAGGAAGAAGAGAAACACTGCGATATTCACAATACAAACGGCCATTCCACAGAGGAATGCCGTGCTAAAGGCAAAAAGTCTAGCAAAAAGAAGGGAAAAAGCAAAACAGCTGAAACCGCGGTTAAGGCCGAAAAGCCAAAACCCAAACCAGCTAAAGACTCCGACAACGCACCTCAGAAAAGAGAACGCGAAGTCGAGGTCGAAGCCCCCGATTCCCCTCCTTCTAACAGGAAAAGAATCGACCTAATCTTCGGAGAGCTCAGCCTTTGCGGCGGCTCAACGAGATCCGTGGTCACCCCCCCACCCGCTCCTAGAAAGGCTACGAGCTCTAGCTCACACAGACCTCCTAGACTTGTCGGGGGGATAGAGCATTCTTACAGAAGCTCGCCTGTTACATCACCTACCTCCAGACCCGATACTAAGAGCATTGCGATCTCTTGCTTACGCAGACTTCACAAGCTCTCGGGGGGAGTAGAGCCACCTACCCCTAAACGAATTGACTTCATTTGCGGTGGCTCGAAGATGTGCAAAGACTCGATTAACTCGATCAAAGCACATCAGCGACGGGTCGAGTCATCTGGACAACCACGTCCTCTAGACGGACCTGATCACGAAATCAAATTTCGAGAAAGCGAAACACTCGCACTCGATAAACCTCATGACGATGCACTCGTAATCGAGCTCGCCGTAGCCGGATTCGAGCTGACCAGAGTCATGATAGACACAGGAAGCTCTGTAGACGTGCTGTTCTACGATGCTTTCAAGCGAATGGGATTCGAAAACTCCGCACTCATAGGAGGCCGTACGCCCCTAACTGGGTTCGCAGGAGAAACGACCTATTCCATGGGAACTATCCAGCTCCCAATCAAAGCAGGTGGTATAACGAAAACAGTTGACTTTGTGGTCGTAGATCGCCCCGCGCCATTCAATGCCATTCTCGGCAGGCCGTGGCTCTACACCATGAAAGCAGTTGCATCCACTTACCACCAATGCGTCAAGTTCCCTACACCTTGGGGAACAAAAACAATTCGCGGTTGCCAACGAGCTTCCCGAGATTGCTATATGGGCAGCTACTTGCGAGCTGAAAAATCGCCAGTATAGCAATTACAGAAAGAAGAGGAGCTCGCGATTCGGCAGATCAAACATGGCAAAGATCCGACCGTCCGCGAACCTCGAAAAGACTTGGTCACTCAGGTTTGCATCGACGAAACCGACCCCGAAAGGCGCGTTGGTATCGGAATCGATCTCGCAAAACCTATCCGTGACGAGCTGATCGCCTTCCTAAAGGAAAACATCAGCACATTCGCATGGTCCACCGCGGACATGCCCGGGATTGACACTAGGATCACGTCTCACGAGCTGAACGTAGATCCCACGTTCAAACCCATGAAACAAAAACGTCGAAAACTCGGCCCAGATCGGGCTAAAGCAGTAAACGACGAAGTAGACCGACTACTCAAGGTAGGCTCGATCAGAGAGGTGAAATACCCCGACTGGCTAGCTATCCTGTAGTTGTCAAAAAGAAAAACGGAAAGTGGAGAGTCTGTATCGATTTCACAGACCTTAATAAAGCTTGTCCAAAAGACAGCTATCCACTTCCTCATATAGATCGCTTGGTCGAAGCTACGGCTGGTCACCAGCTCCTATCCTTCATGGATGCGTTTTCTGGGTATAATCAAATCAAGATGAACCCAGAAGATCAGGAGAAAACAGCTTTCATAACAGACCGAGGTACTTACTGCTACAAAGTAATGCCATTCGGGCTAAAAAACGCGGGAGCTACATATCAGCGCCTCGTAAACAAAATGTTTGCCGATCAGCTCGGTAAAACAATGGAGGTGTACATAGACGATATGCTGGTCAAATCCTCTAGGGAAACAGACCACGTCGCACAGCTCCGGGTATGCTTCTCCATACTTAACAAGTACGGCATGAAGCTGAACCCGACTAAGTGTACATTCGGAGTTCCGTCTGGCGAGTTCCTCGGTTACCTAGTAACTGAACGCGGAATCGAGGCGAACCCGAAGCAAATCTCTGCCCTCTTAGATATGCCTTCTCCAGAAAATACTAGAGAAGTACAACGGTTAACCGGTCGAATAGCAGCCCTTAATAGGTTCATTTCCCGGTCAACCGACAAGTGTCTTCCATTTTACCAGCTCCTCCGAGGAAATAAAAAATTCCTCTGGGACGAAAAATGCGAAGAAGCTTTCAAACAGCTCAAAACTTACCTCAGCGAACCTCCTATACTGGCAAAACCAGTAGAAGGAGAACCGCTATACCTTTACATCGCGGTCTCGCCTGCAGCGGTCAGCGGGGTCTTAGTTCGTGAAGAGCTAAACGAACAAAGACCAATCTTTTACGTAAGTAAATCCCTGATTGATGCCGAGACTAGATACCCAGCTATGGAAAAACTTGCCTTAGCAATAGTAATGTCCGCTCGCAAGCTGCGACCTTACTTTCAATCACACACAATCGTGGTGATGACCTCGCAACCATTGCGAACTATGCTACATAGTCCAAGTCAATCTGGACGACTAGCTAAATGGGCTATCGAGCTCAGCGAATACGACATCGAATATCGAACTAGAACCTGTGCTAAAGCCCAGGTACTAGCTGATTTCATGATCGAGCTGGCACCGGAAGCCAATAACGATACCACCCTCTCTAAAGTTTGGACACTCTTCGTAGATGGAGCCTCGTCCAAACAAGGAGCTGGCGTCGGAATCAAACTCACATCTCCAACCGGAGAAGTGATCGAACAATCGTTCAGACTCGGATTCGTCGCCTCTAACAATGAGGCCGAATACGAGGCACTCATAGCCGGACTCCGACTCGCAATCGGGATCGGCGTGAATGAGATCAACGCATTCAGCGACTCCCAGCTCGTTACTAGCCAATACAGCGGCGAGTACGAAGCAAAAGAGGAGCGCATGGAAGCTTATCTCAAAGTAGTTCGAGATTTAGCTGGACAATTCAGTAAATTCGAACTAACTAGGGTGCCTAGGGGAGAGAACACTTCGGCTGACGCCTTAGCTGCTCTCGCCTCCACTTCGGACCCAACTGTAAGACGTGTGATCCCAGTCGAAGGCATAGATAAACCTAGCATCGACATCGCACTCAAGTCTGACAGTATAAACGCAATTACCTCGCGCCCGTCTACTCGTTCTCAAACTAGACAGTCCCAAGATCCGGGACCATCTAACCCGGAACCTGATTCCGAGGAAGAAGAACCTGACCAAGATAGGCAAAAAACAAGGTATATCGATTCGGACTCTTCGCAAAATACGCAAGAGTCCACGATCCATACCGTCCCATCTGCTATGGCGAACGAACTCACCTTAAAGGAAGAGTTCGCTGCGAGACCCGACTGGAGAACCCCTATCATGGAGTATATCCAGCTCGGAGCCGTCCCTAACGAAAAATGGGCATCTCGCAAGCTAAAAGCCCAAAGCTCGCATTACTGTATAATGGAAGATAAGCTCTACAAGCGAAGCCTTATCGAACCATATTAACGTGCATCACGGAAGAAGCTTACACCGTAATGCACGAGACTCATCAAGGACCTTGCGGAAGTCATTCCGCAGGCCGAGCTCTCGTCATACGGATTAAAAAGCTAGGCTACTTCTGGCCAACAATGATAGAGACTGCGAACAGTACTCCAGGCGATGTGACAAATGCCAAAGGCACGCCCCAAGCATTCACGTCCCAGCTGAAACACTCTCATCGATCTCTTCACCTTATCCTTTTATGAGGTGGTCTATGGACATAATAGGACCTATGGTCTCTTCGGGACCAAAGCAATTCCAATACCTACTAGTCCTTACTGACTACTTCACTAAATGGATCGAGGCCAAACCATACCAACAAACGACCGAACTCGAGGTCCGGAAATTTATCTGGAAAGACATCATTTGTCGACACGGGCTCCCTTTCGAGATCGTGACAGATAACGGATCTCAGTTCATAGCTCGAACATTCAAAGACTTCTGCAAGAAGTGGAACATACGCATAACGTATTCCACACCTCGTTACCCTCAAGGGAAACGGGCAAGCTGAAGCAACAAACAAAACCCTCTTGAGTAACCTCAAGAAACGACTCGACGCCCGTAAACATAGGTGGTCCGAAGAGCTCGCAGCAGTTCTTTGGGCTTGCCGAACTACCCTCACAAAGCTACTCATGAGACCCCGTTCTCATTAGCTTACGGGCTAGAGGCCGTCATCCCAACTGAAACTTCCGTTCCAAGTCTTCGCAGGATGCAATGTCCAGCGAACGTCGAGCTGAACGAAGAAATGTTGAGAGATCACCTTGACCTTATCGACGAACGTCGAGATCAAGCTCTGATCCGGATACAAAACTATCAACAGGCCGCAGCTCGCTATTATAATTCCAAGGTTAAACACCGGAGATTTCATATAGGCGACATGGTTCTGAGAAAAGTACAAGACTATACCAAAGAGCCCGGTGCGGGAAAACTTGGGACCAATTGGGAAGGTCCCTACCTCATACCGAAGTAGTTCGCGATGGCGTCTACAAGCTCACAAAAGTCAGAAACGGAATACCTGAACTAAGACCTTGGAATGCGATGAACCTGAAAAGGTACTATCACTGAAAAGGATCTAATCTGAGTATCTCCACCCCTCGAACTACGTTTAGGCTTGATCCTCCTTCCCTGGGGGTACGTAGGCAGCTCAACCACGAGTCCAGCCCCAATCCGAATTTACTTCGTTTTATTTGAGACGACCTCATTGGCCGGCCCTAAAACGGGCTCGATTTGTATCATCTCGAATATTATACTTAAATAAAATGTTTTCTATGTTTATCGCTACGAATTGCTCGAATCGACTCAGCAAGTCCTTAAGAAATTCCGAATTACTTAAGCGTATCAATTTACGTCGAAAACGCCTGATCTTGCGTGACCTGAAAAGAAATCGAGCTCTTTCTCTCGTCTCAAAACAGATCGGAAGATCGAGATCACCTCGATATTCCCCTTTCGAACGAAGTGAGGTTCAGAGTCCACCTCTTTACCTTCAATTTCTTACTTCGCAAAAAACCAATCGAAGTCCGCAGCGTCCAAGCATCCAGCGTAGTGTTCTAGCAATCGTAGAACCGAAGACCCAGAGACAGCCCGAAATCTAACACGAAGCCGAGCCATCCAGACGGACCTGAAGTTCACGATTAGCTCGGAACACTATCGGCGAAGCGACAAAACCAAGACGAACTTCGAAAGGTAATAAATTCCATCTCCAAAAGCCGAATAAGAAACACCTCGATCGAAAGACGGGAAAACAACTCCGCAAAGCGCGAGCTACATCAGTTCGCCAAAGAGCTCGAAAAAGAATAAACACCACGTTTAGCTCGATCCATGCGATCGACGAAAATGGTAAAATTCGCCTAAGTGTTGAATCGATCTAATCGTCCCGAATTGGACTTGATTCGACCTAAAACTATGTTTAGCTCGTTCCACGCGATCAGCCAAAACTAGTAAAATTCGCCTAAGTGTTGAATCGATCTAATCGTCCCGAGTCGGACTCGATTCGACCTAAAACTACGTTTAGCTCGACGATCGGCCAAAACTAGTAAAAATATTCTAAGTGTTGAATCAACCTAAACGGATCGATTCGACCTCCGACTAAATGTGCATCTCCTTGGTCAAAACACTTAGTCGAAAAAGCCCTCAAACATTTGAAGCGAGCTAAACGCGAGCTAAAGTGGAAAGTTTCACAACAAATTGGGCAAAACATGCCCAAGGCAAAAACACCGAAGGCAAAATCACTTAAAGCGGTTCCCAATGACGAGATCCCCGCGATCTTTTACCCCGTTCAAACCTTTGCGGATAAGCTCGAATATACCCCAAATCGAGGAATTCGAATTAGCTCGGCATAAGTTTGAATTTTTGAAATTTAAAATCAAACCGCCCGTTTTAAGTTCGAAACTCACTTAAAAGGGTTGGCGGGCAATTGTTGGACCCAGATTCCACACCTGGAATCTAGCACGTAAGGGCCCATTACCTTGATCTAAGATTGAAGTCCAGGCCCACTCAAGCCCAGGAAGAAGACCTCGAGCCCACCAAGCGACTCCCTCGTAAGCCAGTTAACTGCCATCCGAGCTATTCCGGTCGACGTAAAGACGAGCTCCAGCTCGATCAAGGACCAGGTCGGCACTGCGAAGAAAGACGAAGTCAAAGAAGATCTCCTTCAAATCCGGTCTGGTCCGAGATCACCGGGATCGTTAGCTGCACGTGGCGAGATACGCGGAGGTGGATCATAGCTGATTATGGAGCTATAAAAGGAGCTTGACAGCAGTCGGATCAAAAAGAATCTTCTTCCGATCATTTTAGACCTAATTGCTATCATACTTTCCTTGTATTTTCCTTTGAGCTTAGTTCTTTCTCTCTTCTGAGAATTCATTGTAACCATTTTCATTCGTTTAATACAAATCCGTTTAGCCAAATCCTTGCTTACGATTCATTCGACTTACATCAAAATCTAGCCCTAAATCTCCCTAAGTTTCTTCCTTGCAAAACCTATAAATTTCGAGTGTGGTTTTCATAGCCCACATATACTTTGAACCAAAAAAAATGTGATATATACTTGGAGAAAGAAATTAAGATACAATTAATAATGTATGGATAAACATATGGGCTTAATTTAGATAACGTACTAGGGGTGACCCGCGCTTCGCGCGGGAATTAAAATTTGTGTTGATTTTATTATTTTTCACAAATTTAATTTAATTATATGATTTATTATTATTTTAAAAATGTCATACACATATTAATCAAATATAATTAGGGTTACTAAAAAATTACCGAAAATTAAATATAATTAAGTTTACGCAAAAATTTTGAACCATCATTTTTCATTCTCCCATTTTGTTCTTTTTATCATATCCGTTTTTTCCCGTCCCATTCGCCATGTCCGTATCGTCACGTGCAATCCCATCATGTCTGAGACTGTTCCATCCCGTTTTGTCCAGTCTCATCCTGTTCTTTCCGTTTCTTTCCGTCATGTCCTAAAATATAATTAGGGATATGCTAAATTCACGTTTTTTCCGTTCCATTATTTTTCTTTTCATCCTGTCATTTCCGTCATATCCATCCGTCTAATCCCATCCTGCCTCATTATGTTTCTTCCTGTCTTGTCTTGTCCCATCTTGGTCTTTTTGTTTCTTCTTGTCCCGTCTCTAAATATAATAAGAGGTAGGCAAAATTTACCTCTTATCCCGTTCTATTTCTCGTCTCGTTCCTCCCCGTTCTATTCATTCACATACCGTTTTGTCTCGTCCCATTCAGCCTCGTTCTGCTATTCATTCACATACCGTTTTGTCTCGTCCCGTTCAGCCTCGTTCTGTTTTTTTTTCCCGTATTGCCCCATCCCATCCTTTCTCGTATTAAACTATTAAAATCTATTTGATAAAACTAAAATTATTAAATTAGAATTTGTTTAGATCAATATATAAACTATTTTCTTATACAAAATGACTTTTCAAATTCTATTATGATTAAGTGATAGATGTAATAAATTATTAGTCGTAAAAGAGAATTGGAAGAGTATTGTTTAAAAGAGAGTTTGCTGACGTAGCGCTCCTAGAAGAGACCCCAAGTGTGTTTTATATATATAGATATCCTTTTAAAAAAAAAAAAAAAAAAAAAAAAAAAAAAAAAGGATAACGTAGATAATAGGTAGACAAATAAATAACTATGGAACTGGAAAATTGAGACGTTACCGTTAAGCAATACAACTCTCAACTCTGAATTCTTTTCAATGTAATTAGGATTTTTAAACGCTGCGTAAAAAACAATTATCCTAAAAACTATTGTTTAGCTTAAAACTAGAAGGTTGGCATTAACATAAAATCTTATCTAAGTTATGCACACTTCTTTTTTTGTTAAAGATTTCTTAGTTATGAACACTTTTATCAGTATAATATTCATAATGCATGTTACCGCCAACAGCTTTGACGACACACGATGAGTGTAGTTTTGTCCATATTATTGGAAAAGTTATATGATTTGTACGCATAAATGCATATACTAATACAAGTTATATGATTCGTGCAAGATATGTAACTGTGGGTATGCTGATCATGATTACATATTTACATTTGGTTGAACTATTGACATATATATAGTCCATGTTCTTTCCCTTTTCATATTTACATTTGGTTGAACTATTGACATATATATATAGTCCATGTTCTTTCCCTTTTCTCTAATCGTATGTAAAATTTGCTTGTTCTTATGTGAAGGAGGATATTTGTTTCTTACTTTCTTATATTATTACAAATCTTACACGTATAGACAGTGTATAGACTTGAAAAAGAATTGTTCAATCATACAAACTATACGTCGTGGAATTCAATTGTTAAAGATTAAAAGTTAAAACTAGCAATACTACTAATGTTGGAGTATTATACATAATCAACATTGTACTTTAGAAATTCATTCTCCAAAAAAATCAAAAATCATTCTCTTATATTGCAAGTATATATATAATATACTCGATGTGATGCTTTTGGCCACCGAATATGGCAGATGACATGCACGTTTAAGCGGTACATCGACATGTGACCTTTATAATTGCTTCGCGACAAAAGTAAATTACATCGATATATGAAGTGAATACTATAAGTGAATACTTAATACTTAATTAAGTAAATAAGAAAAAACTTTGGGCACAACTATACAGTCTACATATGGTATTTTGTTGACACAAAAAAATGGTAAAGTAGAAAACGTATTTCGATGGTTTGTTTATGTTTGGAAAACAAAAATTTCAACAACAAAAAAACAAAGAGTCACTTGCCAAATTACTAGCTCTTTTACACACTATGAAAAATATTTCTGCGGTTATTTTTTTTTCTAATCCGGCGATTAAAAAATTCAGTAAAAAAACACTAATTATATCATCTCGCAGTCATAAATCTGTCAACATTCATCGATCCACTTCCAAATAATTCCGTTACTATTTAGATGATGAGTACACTTTGTTTATTATATTTACAAACCTAGTTTTACCTCTGACATATCGTTTAATCAGTGTCGATGATTTTGAGGAAAGATACGTCAAATAATTAAATAAAGTGGTTCGATAATTCTTCTGTGTCACACAAGTAAAGGTGAGACAAATGTGTACATGTGTTCTATATTACTTCTTCCACACAAGAAAAGACAACATACAACACATTGCATGCACTTGTCTTTTAAACCCGCTCGGCTAAAGAGAGGCCTCGTCTTGTCAAGAACTTCTAACTGAGACTAAAGCTTTGACCAGGCTTAGAAGTTAGACCTCTTCATGAGCTGGAAGGCCCTGGCGATGCACCCACCAGCTAAGCCTATCACTTCAAGATCTTAACAAAATTAATATAAATTCAACCGTTAGTTATACTACATAAGTATAGTAATTTACAACTTTTAAAATTTCGGAATGATTTAATATTGATATATAGATGAAGCCACCCTACTGAAGCTGACAAAAATAAAACGATTAAGATTAAGGGATAAAATTGCAGGTGCACATATACGATTATGCAAAATAAAACAAGGAAGGATGTTAATTACGTATATCATGTGACAAGAATATATATACTTTTTTTGTTTCTAGTCATTGTTTAAAAAGTAAAACTCAACTATTGTTCAACGTACCTTTTACCGCCATGCATAATCAATCAAAATGAATATTGAACCCGTTAGATTACCGACTCGTTAACATAGTTACATACAAGGTTTAAACGAATTAAACGTTAATAAAACATACTGTTAAAGCCTTAAAGGGATAATGAAGACGATGGGCACCATAAATCATAATACAGGAATCATCTAGACACAAACACACGCATATATATGATATAACAGAAAGCTCATGACATAGACACGATCCAAGTATATGTAGGTGCGTTGTATATATAGCCAGAATACTTATATATCAAGAAAGGTGTTTGTCATGCTTGACTACTCTGCACGCCACCAGTGGTCGATTTTGTAACTAAATCGGTGAATACTTGTGGCATACAGGGAGCCAGGCACGACGATATATCTATCTATATAGTATATATGTATACAAAACCTCCAAATACGAATGATGGATGGCTTATACGCTGGTCTTGATTCGAATGGAATCAAAATGTGTATTTATGTATTGTGTTTGGGATGGGGAGAAATGAAACCAGAGAAAAAGTGTCGATTATTCTCTGTCAAGGATTTGTGGAGTTAGGTCTAAGAGGAATGGTGGTACAAATATATAGAGGAGAAAAATAATAAATTAAACTTTGCTATATTACTCAAAAGAATTCGAAAGAGGGAACAAACGTACGTTGGATTTTAAAGGATAGTATGAAAAAACTAATAACAGGAAATAGAAATAGAAAACATGTTTTAAAATTATTTTTAATAGTTTCTGGATTGGACTTGACATTCCACAAAGGAAAAAAGAGGTTTGCTTTAATGTTAGTGCGCTAAGTTTATTTATATACAGAGATAATGTAAGATGGAAATCAGTATGGATTCTCTTTTGTTAAAGTGAATAAAGAGACAGGCAGCGTGCAACACTTCAGGCTTACTTTAATTTAATTTAATAGTTTGCAAGAGTTTATGGTGAGCTTTTTCGATTTCGATAATACGTTCAAGAAGTTTTTCATACTGCTGAAGATAAAAAGAAAGATACTCCATAGTTACAAAAGAGGAGAAAGAGTTCATGGGCAATCATGAATCATATGAATCATCATCATCAGATTCATCACCACACATACATTTTCACTTCAATCGAGATTACTGGCTCTAGATCATTCAAAATAGTCTTCTTTGGGCCTTAACTCTTAACATTGAAAAGTACGAATACTTAAAACGTTCGACATTGAAGTATTTACATACTGTTTAATTTAGATCCGAAAACTTAAACCGTTTTTGAAAGATAAATAGTTAGATTCGTGTGTATTACATAACGTGTAATATGTTTTTTGTTTGTTCTTTTGTCACCGTTTGCTTAGCTTCATACGTATTTTAGATTTTTAGTATAAAAAATGTCTCAGTAGTGCATATGTAGTTCACAGCTTTTCTTATCCTTGGGTCGTGGGCTCTTTCGACTTTCCCTTTAGCTTTCTGTAATTAAAGGGGCTTTTTCTCTGACCAAAACAAAAGTTGTGGTTCAATTTTCGACAAAACCAGCTTGATTATCTTCTGTTTCGAAAGAGACAATTGAACCAAACTGAACCGAAATCAATATAATGTTCTTGCAACCAGTTTCATTTATCTACGACTGAACAAACCAAACTAGATTTGGTCAAAGAAACAATCCAAACTAGTTTTGGCCGAACCAGATTTTCTTAAAATACTTTTTTGAATGTATTTATATATTACTCTTAAAATTTTAGTTTAGAAGTCATGTTTTTTTTTTATATTAATTAAAAAAACAAAAAATTGCATGGCAAATAAACACTTACAAATTAGGTTTACGTATCCGACCACTCGATATAGTAAATTTGTTTTAGATATCAGTTTATACCATTAATCTATGTCATTCTATTTACATTAGAACAAAATTTATAGTATTACGACTCCACAAAATTGACTTAGAAATTGAGATCGAGGCCTATGATCAGTTTAGTTTTTACTACCTTTGTACTGTTTCTATGGTTAATGTGTGTTTTTAATAATCGAGATCATCCCAAATGAAAATTCAAAGTAATCTTCAACATCCATGGAAATTTGGTTATATAAAATGTCTAAAGATGGCTAAGTATTAATAGTGAGATAAGTCACAGCTTCAATGGTTAATGCTTTTGAATGTGTTTATACATTTATCAAACTTTCATCAACCAAAACAATAGAAGTATATTCGAAGGTTATAACACCTAAATAACGCGCGTTGTGTTGTTGTTCATTTGACAGTTTATAAGCAACATGTTGAAACGCGCATTCACATTGGAACTCTTTTTAAAATTATTTACTTTTTTTTTCGTTACATATTCAACTATATATGTAAAGAGTAAAGACCAAAGTTATAACTTTAGTGTTGTAAAATTAAGATATGGAATTCGTTATGTAACGACAACTTATAATGTGACAATAATTAATGTTTGTTTTGCTGGAAATAACCAAACATATACGTCTCCAAGAGACGCGATCACGGATGTTTCGCTTTAGTATTGGACAACTCTTCAGAAACTTTTGCAAATGGATGTTTTTTTACGCAAATATGTTTACTTTATCTTCAGATCTTGTTTGTATTATATTCTACGGATATATTGACCTTTGGTCGTTGAAATAAGTTTACAAGTTAACTGGGTTTTCCATGACTTTCTCGTCTACCTAATAATATACTTCCTTGTCAAGAAAATGAGATCAGAGCTGCTGAAAAATTTATCTCAAACTCATTTTTTTTTTTTTTGATAAACTCTATCGGCTTCCGGTTAGCCTCGGTAGGAATGCACCTAAGTGCTACAAAGTGGACTTATCATTTGGACTACCACATTGTCTATCCCGAGTTTGGAGTGCCTTCCGACTAATGTCAGTGGGTAATCAGACCGCATGCATTTCTGATTACCAGGTAAACTAATTGGTCCTAGGTCCAACTGACAGACTTCCCACACAAACCCAAACTCATCTTAACTATATGTATATAATCTCACAATTATTTTGATATAGGTTTCTTTAGTATCCACCAATTTTTTTTGGCATTTGACGTACATTTATTTTTTATGAGATAATGTATTAAGTGAAAAGAAGTGTATCTTACATTTTGGATTTGGCCATGGTTATGACATATTTGCGGTCTGAGTTGGTTTGGTTTGTTACGGATGTCTTGAAATGTCTTGAAATGCGGATGTAAATATCCAAGTATTTGGATCTCACAAATCACAATAGTTATGTGACTTGATTTACGTAATATCTATCGATCTATATATGTGGCGTAACAATAATATAACATAAAATTTTAAGCCTGGGCTTATCCACACTGGTTGACCATGTCACTCACAAAAACCATACCATAATGAGTTTTATATACGATATGCTGCTACTTATAACTTGGAAATCGTAGTATATACGACTGTTTATATAGTCAACGAGATAAATAGATAGTTGGTAAATGTTTGGTTTTAATTTGACAATGTGACAGTGAAACAAGCCTGAACATTGAACCTTTAATCCATGACAGTAATTAACGGTCAAAAGTAGTATTTAAGTATATAACCAAGATCTTCTGTGAGAGTGAAACCTCAATATTAAAATTATGTTAAACGTTTTCTCCAACCGTAGGAAACTTCGTTTTATGTTTTCTTCTATTTTGTCGTGATCCTTCTCATTCCTTTAAAGACAACAAAGATTCTATTACATGTAAGATTTTTTTTTTTCAAATGTCCAATAGTATAATTCAACGTAATATATAATACCAACTTTATGGTTACACCTTCTAATATAATCTATCCACTAGTTTGTGTGTTCCTTACGTTATCGAATAAATGTTTCGAAACCTCGAGAGAAGTTATATAAAATAATCGAAGTACTTTATTAATGTAAATTACTTTGAAAATCGTGGATGAAAACGAACCATCCAGATCTATCTTTCCATGTTATTTTAAAAATCTCTACCATGTGTTCATCAAACATTTACTGAGGGTCTTTTAATTTCTCACAATATTTTTGTAATCAGACCGAAATATTAGATATCTAATCCTTTATAAAAAAAAGATTAGATATTCCCCTGTAAAGCTTTTAGATTTTAGCAAGTACAACAAAAATAAATTTAATACAAAAAAAAATTATGTATTTGTGTAAACATATCTTAAATGAATAATTTGAGACAACATACACTTGAAAAACGTTTCATTCATTTACATCTTTACGTACGCAACAAAATTACAAAATAAACAAAAAAAAACTAAATAATGAATGCCTTTTTACCCAAAAAAAAAAAAAAAAAAAAAACTAAATAATGATAGTCCATATTTGATCATTTTGACGGAAGCAAATTTTAATGTCGGCTTTTTTTAGTGAGAAATTTACGTGATAGTTTATAGGATCGATTAAGTAAATTGTTTCAATTTCAGTTTATAAAATTTTCGGAACTATCTTCGTTTGAATTCAAATGCGGGAAGAAGAAGAGAACGAGTAGGCTTTGATCAACCATGAAACATCGAAGCAGGTAAAGACTTTAATGAATGCGGTGGAAGCAATCACATAATGGTAAATACAAGATTCCAATTTTGATGAAGACTGCAATGAGAGCATAATTTCGCATAATTCAATTAAATACTACTTATACTAGTCAAGAAACGTATTAAACTTTAATTGAGGAAAAAAGTAGTTAACGTTATTGTATTACATGCATTTAAGCAGACTTTTTAATTATAGGTTTTAACCTAACTAGAAAAACATATATAAATAAAAAATATTCAAAATCATCATAATATCTAATTGTGAAATGTAGTGTTTTTTAATCTAATGGCAATAAGATTAGTTCGGATTTCAGATTATGAAATTGTAGTAAAAGTGTTACTAGAATACAAGTAAAAAGTACGTAGCAAATTCAGCAAGAATTTTATGAGCAACAATCTACATTCTTTTTCCAACATAGCTAGGGCATATATTTTATATATCTAACCCATGATAACAAAACATTCTTTGAACTCCATCCCCCACAAATAACTCTGCGAACGACATGACACATGTCATATTATCATTACCTAATCTTGATTTTATTTAACTTATACATTGAATGACTCATATTGTAGACTTTGTCACACTAATGAGAAATATTATTTACATAAAATTCTGACGCATGCATACAGCATACACCTTTACTTTAGTTATGTCATGGCCCCTAAATTTGCTTATATATACACATACAAACTTGAACGTAGGGAGCTACGAAAGAAAGAATAACAAATCTTGAGTAATCTTTGAGAAGATATATAGAAACAAAATGGGAAGATCACCGTGTTGCGATCAAGACAAAGGAGTGAAGAAAGGACCGTGGACGCCGGAAGAAGATGATAAGCTTACCTCTTATATAAATGAGAACGGTTACGGGAATTGGCGTTCGCTTCCTAAGCTCGCTGGACTTAACCGATGCGGCAAAAGCTGTCGGCTCCGGTGGATGAATTATCTCCGGCCTGATATCCGGCGAGGCGAGTTCTCCGATGAAGAAGAGAGTACTATCGTTAAACTACACGCCCTTCTTGGCAACAAGTAAGACTATTATTTTGTTCATGCTACGATATATTTAGCATCAAATGATTTAAGTCTCGATTGTTGATTTGTTTTAAACGAAATTTATGTGTTTTCTTTTACATGTTTGAAATATAAGCATTTTCATAAAATATTTATGTTAAGTGCAAACCTTTTTTACTTTTGGCTATTACACATACCATTAACATTTGATAAAAAAAAAACACATTTATGTATCACTTATGGTCTTTTACTCTTATATATTATCATAATTCCGTTGATCGAACCATTGTATAGGATTCATGTTTTCAAGACTAGTCTTCAATCAGTTTAAGATCTCTAACCATAAGATTGTTAATCTTTTGGTTACTTATGTAACGATTGAATTGAATTTTACTTTATAGATGGTCGAAGATTGCGAGTCATCTTCCAGGAAGAACTGATAACGAAATCAAAAACTATTGGAACACTCATATGAGGAAGAAGTTGTTGCAAATGGGGATTGATCCAATCACGCATGAGCCAAGAACCAACAATCTTAGCCTCGATGTGTCTCAAATGCTTGCGGCGGCAATTGGCAATGGCCAATTTGGTAACAGTAACATCTTCAACAACAACTCTGCTTTGGAAGATCTACTTAAACTGCAATTGATCCATAAAATGCTTCAAATCATAACCCCCAACGCCATACCAAACATCAATAGGTTCAATACCAATTCATTAAACCCTAAACTAGAGCCGGTAGTCAATAGCTTCAATACCAATTCAGTGACTCCTAAACCGGAGCCGGCTGCTGGACAGTTCATAAACCAAACTGCAAACGAAGATTTCATGCCATCGTTTGAAATTGTTTGGGATTGTTTTGAAGATAACCAGCTTCCTGGTTTGGTTACGGTTTCTCAGGAGAATCTAAATTCAGCAAAGCCGGGTACTAGTACCACCACTGAGGTAGATGATCAAACCGGAGCCGGTATGATGCCAAGTTATTATGGTGATCAAATCCCATCGATTGGTTCGGTATCGGTTTCTCCTGAGACATCCGGTTTAAACCATCCTGGTACGGGTCAACACTCATCCGGTTCAGATGTCCTAGAGGACTGGGAGAAGTTCCTTGATGATGAAGCAAGCGATTCTTGCTGGAAAAGTTTCTTAGAGTAAGATTTTTTTCCTCCACGTTCATTTTTAATATATGATAATTAAATCATATTCCCTCCTTTTAAAATTAATTGTCATTCTGGCAAAATATATCTGCTTTGGATATATTAAATTTAAAATACATCCAACTTCATCTACATTTTGCCAAAATGACAATTAATTTGAAACGGATGGAGTATATATTTGGTAACCGAATAATCTTTCTCAATTGAAATATCTATGTTAACTTAGTATTACTATTTCATCTGCAGCTTAACGTCGCCTACATCGTCACCCGGCCCGTGGTAGAACTGGATTTTCCTCAAGTTAAATTATACTCAGATAGTTTTAATCACAATTAAATGCACAAAATGTTCGATTAATATTATTATTATTTTTTGTAACTAAACTATTGATTTATACGTTTGTATTTCCTTCTTTTTATAAAGGAATGTTTGTAAATTCTTATATATGGTTTGTTTTTTTTGTGTGTAAAAAAGAAACGCATTGTAATCAACACTTATCTCTACACTCAATAATACTGCTCTCTGTTTTTTAATAAGGGATGTTTAAAAAGTTGTTCTTTTATTCACAAATAACTAAATAAGTAATGTTTCCAGGATTTAATGCAAAAATCAAAATAAAAATGACTTGTTTCACTCTCATATTAATTAATGAATAAATACTTAACGAGAACAAAATTGTTATAATATATATTATTAAAGAAAAAAAATGTACTGTATGTGCTAAAGTCTAAAACATGTTTATAAAAGAATAGAGAGAGTAGTGTTTTGGAGAAAATATATACCATCCTCCATTAGTGTTAATCATAACTAATTGATCTCCTTCCCTCTTGTTCCCCTTCTTTTGCCTCTGCTTTCCTTCTCCTTTCTCCAACTGGTCAACAATACATTCATATCATACATAATAGCATATATATGTACCAGGGAAAAATAATACTCAAACTCAAACTCAAACTTTCCAATGACTTGCGCCAAAATAGATCAATGTATACGTGTGTGCGGAGGAAGATTATGAACCATTTTGCCAAATGTTAGAGGATTAAACTAACTTTTAGTCCCTAGCTAATATAGACAATAGTACTACCACTAAACATGCTTTTCAATAATATCCTACATACAAACTAATAGTGAATTCTAAAACGATTGATCATACATACCTTGGAATACAGGTCAATCAAACCAATACGACGTGACAGTGCAAGATCCGACATTCCGTGGGGACGGAATGCACAACATCAACACACTCAACGTTTCCCCAAATCTCACCTCCATGACGCTTTTCAAGCACGATTACCGCGCACCAAATCTTCTTCATATCACATGGATTTATCCTCGTATGCCCTCCTTCCCAAATAACAAAGAGTTTCTCACCACACCTAACTCTCTGACCTAATGAGCCACCACTCTTCCTGTACGTATCTGACAGTGAGTCTAACCCTTTCACTGGTTTCCAATAACCTTCCTCAACGTCATACACATTACACCGCAAGGGGAATTCAAATTCAGGTGATGTATAAAACAGTTCTGAACTCGCAACCTTGCCTTTACCTTGACCCCATTCCCATTTGCACTGCTTTGTGTCGTAAACAATCTTTTCGCGAGAATCACCACCAATGTAAATCTTTCCTTGGCCCTCGCTGATTCCCCAAACTTGAAACGTACGTACTGAGGTACGTACCTCAGTACCCGGATCAGGGAGGCGTCCCCAAGTCTGAGTCTTTGTGTCGAATACCTCACCCCATGGTTCCTCCTCATCCACTCCTCCACAAACATATATTTTCCCATCGCAGACACAGCTCAAGGCATATCTCCGGGCTACAATCATGCTAGGGGCATCGCGCCAAGTGTCACTTAGACAATCTAGGACCCGCACGGCCGAGGAGGATTCTGCTCGGCCGACTGGTCCGCCGATTGCATAAATTTCAGCACCAACAGCTACGGTTGTGAGACTTGGCAGTGAAGGAAGATTGGAAGCCGGAATCGGAACCAACAACTGTCTGACTGGTAGGGTTGGATTAGGGTTAATCTACAGTCTAAACCACTGGGGAAGTTGATGATGCATGGGACGTCTGGGATCAGATACACAAACATAGACAGACATCTCCGTGCTTCCGAGGTGAGATCGTGCTGCGTAGAGCTCGGTGGAAGAGACAAGTGACCGGAACATTTTGGAAACGGTTGAGAGTGTTGGGTAATACCACCTCGAGATCCGGGCTAAGCAATTCACGGCCATATCGTCTGGAAGTGAAGAAAACGACGGAGGAGAAGGTGGTGGTGACGAATTATCCGTCTTCATCTTTGTCTTCCTCTTCTTCTTCTCCGGTACTTGGAGGTTCATTCTCGGCGGTGAACTGTTTTTCGTAAATGGGTCAATGGGGAGAGATAGAGTTTGGTATATAAACAATATCATACGAAGATCTTTCAAGGTTTGTTACTAACAATTAACAAAAATAATCTAACTCTATATAAAATGAATAGATAAGGTCTGGCGTATAGGCAGAGTTTATCTTATATTTTTTGAAACAATTTATGAAAAAGTATTAAACAAAATATAGACACTCTTAAATGTAACTAAAATAATATTGAAAACTCGATAATATCTATTACTAATAAAAGTTGAGCCTATATGCATTAGAGGCTGTCCACCTAGGATTTAAAAGGTTGAATTTGATTGGTCCATGTCATTATTTTTTTTTTTTTGCTTTTAAATTAATTTATGTAAATTTTCTATTTTACATATTATTTATTAATTAGTTTTCAGTAAAGATAATTTCTCTGATTTTACAATTTTCGAGAACTGAATTATAAGTTTCCTATTCATAGATTATCTAAATTTACATATATTATTAGTATTAGTTTCTTTTTTAGTGGAAAATTTACACATGTTTTAAGTAATTATAGAAATAAATTTCCTATTCAGCCAAAAAGATGCTATGGTGTAGCGGTTATCACAATTGTCCTAAACTCAACAGGTATTGAGTTCGATCCTTTGCAGTCCCCTGTTTTTTTTTTAAACCGTTTCAAAAATAATTATATGGACATTGCCATTAGGTTACCACAAAAAAAAAAAAAATCAGACATCGGCATCTCCAAAACGGGATCTGCTACATCTTCTTCCCCTTTTTTCTACAAACCCTAAAACTGCATCTCACAAAACTCTCTCTCTCTCCACCGTCAAACAACAAAAATTCATTCTTCATTTCCCAGATTTCGTAAATCGAATTGGATTTATTTTGCCCTAAACTCCCTATTTCGCATTGTTGCAAGTTTGAAGCTTCAGTACAACTTCAGTTGAGGGAGTATTAGACCAAAAATGGAGAAATTCGGAATCTATTACTAAGATAAGTCTTGTGATTTGACTGTACAATTCGGCTGCTTTAATTTCTGGCGAATATAAGATTGCTTCTTGGCATTTTTTTCTTATTTCTTCTTCCAAATTTATTTCTTGGTTTCATTATTTCGTTTTAGTCTAGAAGATTCTTGAAAAACAAATTGGATATTGTTTGATAAAGATTAGGATTTGGATAGTTCCTATTTTTGTAATTATCACTTCTCTAATTTCCTTATTGTACAATGACATTGATATACATTGATTCCTTTTTCCATTAGGAATAAGATGATCTTAAATCCTATATATACGTGGTCTTATTGCCACATGAAACCAAGTTCAGAATATACATTCACATCTCTCAATCGATTTTTATAAGCCATGGCAAATTCATGCTCTTCTGTTTCTAATCAGTTAAGCCATACTTTGGTTTTCGATGATCTAAAAAAAGGTTTCAAAATAATGATTTGCTTGTCAGAGTCATCCACTTTTGGGAGGCACGAAACGTTAGAAAAGGCGGATTACTCATGGGTGTAGAACTCCTTCTCATGGATCAGAAGGTACTTAATCAAAGGATTTTAAAGAAAAAAATTGAACCTGAAGGCTAAGGACGTTTGATCTCTGTAAAAACAAGAAAACCAAACAAAAAAGGGGTAAAGTCAATGAGAAGAGATTTCAAATATTATTAAAAACGACCAGTGAAAGGAGAAAACGCTCTAAAACTCGACAGCTATAAGTCTCAGTTAATTGAGATTGGTACCTAAGTTAATTGAGAAATTCAGAGCGAGAGTCGAAGGAGATCGAAAAGAAGAAGAAGCGTGAGCTCTCCCCTGGTAATAACAAGATTAGCAACAAAGAAGAGGGATCTAGATGATGAGATGGTTCCGGTGGGAATAAGGAAGAAGAAATATTGTTCGATTGTGGTCGGCAAATGAAAGAAAAAGAAACGAAGCATTTCTAATTTCTATGAGATAGGAAAATCGAACCGTAACAAACCAAAAGAATTTAACCGGGAATTGGAAAAACAATTAAAAGATGATGACCACGGGAAGAAGAAGAAGCCATATGATATGGAAAAAGTGGGAATACATTTAACACGATTATATCATATGAAACAATTAAAAAAAATTATTTTTTACTCCTGATCTTTCTGATTCCTTTCTTCCCGTCCTTAATGATCTGTAAAATACATTTATATTTTATTTTATTTTCTAGATATAAGACTTTTAAATATAAAAACAGTGATTTAAAAATAAAGAGATGAATTTATTGAATGGAATTAAATGCAACATAATTAAAATTACAAAAAAAAATTAAGTATAAATCATAAATTCATAGCTGGAAAAGCTAAACAAATAAATAAAATTAAAAAATAAATTAAGAACTAAAATATGTATTAGACTAATATTGGATAAGTTTGCCAGATAACCTTTATTGGATATAAAAAAAATTGTCTAATGAATAGTAAAATTAAGGGATTAGTTTAAGAAATTTGAGGATTGGGCTGTTGTATGTTTTTATGACAAAAAATATTTTTAAAAGGTATCTTACTTATTATGACTACTTATAAAAATAATTAAATTGGTTAGGTAAAAAAATTAAAAGTATATTACAAAAAAAGTTTATTAAAAAAAATTATAAACAAAAATTGAAAAATAGTGAAGCATTTTAAAAATCCTTTTTTTAATAAATGAAACTATTATTTTCATCTCTTATCAAAGAAACAAAAAAAATTGATGACTCGAACTTGATATACAAATATTCTTAATTGAATCATACATTTTCTTAATATTATTGAATAAAATTAAAATAAAGAGGACATAAGATTTATTTACAAATATTAAAACGGAACCCGCGCATGCGCGGGTAAACACCTAGTATACTATTAAACAACGAACTTTTTGATATTGATCAAATAATCTCTATTGCTTTATTTAACTTTTGAAGACATGATTTTTCTTATTCTAAAACAATATGGAAACACACAATTAATAAATTTTAGAGCTTATTATTTACAGTTTGGTGAGACATAGAAGATATTTTTTTTTTCTTTTTCTTTTCCGTTAGAATACGAAACATTTTTATCTTAAAATATAAAATTTGCGAAATTTTTTTTTTCCTTTCTCATTAGAATATGGAACCTTTTTAGCTTAAAATATGAGGCATGCAAAAAAAATTCTCCTTTTTCCCTTGCATATACCAATATTTTTTATTTCAATCCAAATGATTTAGAGTGAAATATTCTTTATTGATTTCTTCAACTTCAAAGACATGTTTTTTTCTTCTAAATTAGTTAAAGAGAATAAAAAATCATAAACACATGATGAAATCTTGAAGGTTATAGTTTATCTTATACTAGGGTTGGATCCGCGCCTAGCGAGGGGTGATGATATCTGAACTTATAGTTTTAAAGTTTGAAAGTTGTGATATTTATGGTAGGTTATACCGCTAAAACAAAATACCAATTTTTCAAAGTTTTTTTCTCATTTTTAGCTAATATACCAATTAAATAAACAAAATAAAAATAGTTGGTAACCCGTATTATATGCGAAATACAAAATAAAAATAAATCAAGAATATTTATGAATAATATTGGCTAATTGCAAATATAAAGACTTTTTTATTTGAATGTAAGCAATCACATTTTTTTTTTTGACGTTAAGCAATCACATTGTTAGGGATGTTAATGCAATTACTGTATCAAATTAAGATACTTTTAATGTTTTAGACTTTTAATAGATTAATCCACAAAATATGTGTTCATAAAAGCATCAAATTTTATTTAAAATATTCAATACATAGGAAAATATACACTTGTTTAGTTTTATATTATTGATTAGTTATTAAAATTACAAATTATCTTATAAATCTTTTTAAATATGTACTATTTTTAAATCTTGATAGAACTATTATTAGAATATATTAACATAGTAATATTTTAAATTTTTATCAGGTTTTATAACAGATTTCTGAACCATCACTCAACAACATATCCAATGTGAATTTTTATATATTCAAATCATAGCATATACAAAAAAAAATGTAGATTTTTTTCTTCTTATTTGATATAGATGATTGATTTAAAAATAAAAATAAAGTTAAACAAATACTCCATTAAAAGTTTAACATTAAATGTTTCTTAATTTATGTGAAAATTCTACAACATCAAGTATTGTGAAACGGAGGGAGTATGATAGAAGAAATAGAATGATTTTAAAAATAATTAATATGATATAATTGAATTGAATATCTTTCTTATTTACTAATTTATGTGACCATCAATTAAGGAAAGAGAATAATTGTTTTTAGTTTATATTTAGTTTATGAAGACATATTTGATTTTCTAACCATAATATATGAGTGGCATTAATGTTTGTAATTATTCTAGTAAACTAAACCTTATTTTATAAATAGTATGAGAAGCTTCCTAGTAATGACACATCAGCATGACATTTTTGTTAATAACACATGACACAAATGTTATTTTCAAAATGTCTTCTCTTTTAATATATTAGGGATAGCCTTCAAACGGTTGTAATTAGTTTATATGGAAGCCCATTATCGGCTCATATTCTAGAATATTCTAGCTTGTTCTCCAAGTGTATTTCTCTCCAAGGAAAACCCTATGTTGTACTCCTATATAAGGAGCTCATTATTGATGGAATAATACATAACTAATTCCTCTCTTCTCTTGTTCTCCCTTCTTACTATAACATGTTATCAGCACGAGTCTCTAACCGTTAGGTTAAAATCCTAGCCGTCAGGTTAAAACCCTAGCCGTCTCAACTAAGAGTTAAAAGGAAATCAAATTTCCTTATTATTTCTTCAAAGATCGAATTCATAAGATACAATGAGTAATTTATATTACTTTGTTGATCTGTGTTTATCATCTCAATCCCAGAAGGATTAACATTACAAAATTATTCATATCCCACAAGGATTTCTATATTTTGAAGAATTTTTATTTATATATCCTAAAAGGATTTTATATTGTTTATTATTCCATATTT